TATATATATATATATATATATATATATATATATATATATATATATATACACATATGTATTTCGAAAAATAGTAGTTCCTCGTGTTGTGAAGTTAATTAATATTGCAGAAGGCTGCATATAAAATGTTCCCCAAAAATGGGAAAGAATGGCAAAGTTAGAAAATCCCTGGTATAAACAAACAAATCTTTTAAATAAACCTTAGTCAGCTTCCTGTTTTTCACATGCAAGCCACAAGTTGAATATAAACGATAGTTTCAGCCACAGTGATGCCAACTATTTGTTTTAAGATACATTTTGTTGCACAACATGTTAAAGCAAACTAGAGAAAATAACTGAAGCACCACTGACACCATTATTTTGAGGTGTTTTACTTAGAAACATGATTATAGAATCTACGCTGTTAGAAAGTCTCATCCGTAAAGTTAAATTATGATTTATACATTCAATTCAATTCAGTTTATTTATATAGTGCCAAGTCACACCAGAAGTCATCTCAGGACAATGAACAGAAACATTCATATATACCTGTATAGTAAGAAGTGGTGTAGTATACATTTTTGTAGTGGGTATACTGTACTTAGATACTAAAATACACCAGTTAATACACTGTAATCGTCAATTTATTTTGATTTTTGAGCATTTTGACCATTTCAAAATGTCTCTGATGCTTTTATTTGAATAAATGCACAACACACTTTGTACAACAGTTGGCTTTGTGTTAAAACATGTTATAGAATTTATAAAACAGTATAAAAGCAAAACTTGTTCAAGTATTAAGTAGTAAGTACAGAAGTATTAATTATGCAAAAAACAGGTTGAACCAACTCATTGTGTCTATAAAATGTTCCAGATGTGTTGACACTAATAACAGCCCGTGTCATGTATCATTGCCAATGATACATGACACGGGCTCGTATTATTGGGCACTTTTAAGTGGGTATACAGAAATTCCCACGCTTTTCTAGTGGATATACTTCGTATGCCCGCGTATCACATAGACTACACCACTGATAGTAAGTTATTTATCTGAGGAGCAGACTGCTTTGAGTCTAACTTCATCGCAAACTCTCATCTTGAGCAAACATGAAGGTGACAGTGGAAATAAAAAACTCCCTCATGAGGAAGAAACCTTTAGCAGAACCAGGCTCAGGACAAGTGGCCATCTGTTTCGACCGGCTGAGTTTGAGAGGAATAGATACACAATGGCAGGTCAAGAATCACATGTTAACATAGAAATTGTACCGAATGAAAACTATTCGATTGTAACAATTAATGTTAAGGAATGAGGTAAATTTGTCCGTGGCAGGATAACAGCCTCATGGACAGAAACTGGAAGTTGGTTCTACAAGAGAGGAGCCTGATAACTGAAGGATCTTCCTCACATTCTGCTTTTGGAAACTCTAAGGACCACAAGT